CAACTTGGCCTTGTGGCAGCTTGAAGGAGAAACAACCGGTAGTAATTTGTGCATCGAGAGTGCTGTGTGAGAGAGTGCGTGGGATTAAGCGAGTGGAAGGTTGTTGTCAGTTCCACTGTATTTGAGCGTCAAATAGGGCTCATCCGTGGTTCAGTCGTCCTATGTAAGTACCTTCTCGTATGCCTTGTTTCTCTCTCGCTAGCTTGTTATTCTCTCTCTCTCTTTATCGCTGCACTGCACTCCTTATAAACCCTTATATTATATAAACGCCGTTTTGTCTTATATGTACCTTTCTCTTATTCACACCTAACTCTACTGCCTCCCACGTTCCCCCGTCGATAAATTAATGCGAAGACTAGCTGCTTGATCCACGACGCTCCCGCGGGCCTTAAGGCATAACTAGGCATCGGGGCATAGCCTCGTCCGGTTATTGTATGCCCGCAAAGAGCTGAACATAATATTCTCCGTTCTCTCGCGAAATAACGCGGGCAAGTAACAACCCCGTTATAAGGGTCACGTTTAAATTCATTTAAAAAATTGTAAACAGTTGCAAATATAGGAGCTATCCAGCACCGACGTATAATACTCTCCAGTGATTGTTTGTCGTTTTTCTAAATAGTCGACGAAGATATTTCCACGTGCATCCCAAAAAACAGTGGTAATAACCTTGTCGGCCGATTGCATTGTCTTCGCCTTCTTTGGAGCGTTAACCTTTCACAATCCACTGCTTTGACTATTCCTTTGTCTCAAGAGTGTAGTGGTGTATCCACGTTTCGTCTACAGTTATGAATCGACACAGAAAGTCGTCCGGATTACGGTGCATGCGCGTCAAGAGGGCCTCAGCGATCACCACTCGACTGCGTCTGTTCTCGACTGAGAGCTAACGCGGCACTCATCCTGCTGAAATTTTTCTCATGTCCAATTTATTCTGCAAAATCGAAATGACTGTGCCTTTTGGAAATCCCTGTGGCCCCAACTATTTCGCGCAATTTTATTCTTCAGTCACTCAAAGTCATGTCATGGATTTTAATGATTATTTCCGGAGTGCTCACGTCTACAGGACGACCTGAACGATGTTCATCTGCAGTCGATGTACGGCCACGTTTAAATTCATTTACCCAATTGTAAACAGTTGCAAACAAAGGAGCTCATACGACATGAACTGCATCTAACTCAGCTTTGATTTCTTTCGATGTAAAGCGTTTTAAATATAAATGTGTTTTCATTGCTCGGAATTTACTTTTTTCCATTGTTAACAAGAAACAAAAGTTGCTCACTTTGATTAACGATAAAAACGGATTTCTAAGGACTTATTGACCCACGCTCGTAGATAAATTACAAGAACAATTAGTATTCTTTTTAGCAAAAACCAAAAACTAAATGTAATAGCAAAGGAAATGAACGGAGAAGTAACCTCAGGTGGTATATTCACTAAAAATACTTTAAGAAATATTTCTAATAGTATCTAGGATCTAATAATCGAAAAATGAACGATACAGAAGTTGTTCTCGTTCAAAAATGGATATTTGACACAGTAATCAGAGGACATACACTACATAGAGTGTATGTCTGGTCTATCAACTTACTAGAAGCATTCTATAATTCTATCACACATTTATTAGCGACAATCAAGGGCACAGCAAAAGATACTCAAAAGAAGCAAACACAAAACAAATACAATGAAACCGAACTTAACGAAATGAAAACAATATCAAAACACCTACGAAACCATCCCCTCTCCTTTACTAAATAGACCACTAGCTCTTTCAATTTGGTAGGAATCGATAATATTATTTAATCTGAAATAATTTTTATTATATTTTCATTTTCTCGTACAATGATCGTTTGGACCCCGAGGGATGACATTCCAAGATGTAACATAAAGTAAGATCATAATTAAGATAGGACAGGCCGTAAAAATAATTCATTACTATTACTTATATTTTATTATTATTACTTGCATTATTATTTATTTAGTGAAATACATTACTATTAGATTTAGCTACAATTACAACTATATCTATGAACGAAACTCGGACCAATAAATACATTATAAAAATCGCTAAACACCTCTATATACACCCTGCGAAACTCATTACTATATATGCACAATTCGTAAATGAATAAGCTACAAAGATTCCGAGTGTCTTCATCTTGGACCATACTCTCCAAGATAATATAAACTGCGAGTCAAGCGATCACACTTCCGCAGTGTTCATATGGTTGCCTATTTCTGCAACTAAAGGAACAAATATAGATTACAAACAGAATAAGTTCAAATATAAATATATTCAAATTTTGTACTTACCATATCTTGAAGTACTTCCTGGTTCTCAGCTTAGGTGCAGCAGGTATTGGAAAATCATTCTGAATGGCACGCTTGACAGCCTGGGAATGCTGCCAACCTTAAGACAAAAAGGACAAGAAGAAGTGTGTTAATAGTTATAGGATTAATTATAGGAAACTTAATACGTAATACAATAGCAAATGATTACTTACACAAATCATCGAATAACGCTTTCAGAAGAACCGAAACATTGTACAAACGAACTGTTATAAACAACAGAGTAGAACTATATATAATCGACCCGATACACCTTTTATATACCAAAAATATGTTTATAAAGAAAAATTAAAACAGAAAAATCAATAAAACAAGAAGTGTAATTAACTCAAATTTTGCTGAATCATAAATTCTTTGAAAACTTAAATATCAGAAATATTTCAATATCACAATAATAATTTCATTGTCAAACCAAATTTTAACTTTACAATTAATGCATATTAATCGCAATATCTTAAGCTCCGAGATATTTCATCTTGCAACGTATTCTTCGCAAAAGTTTTAAGCATTGCATATACAATTCCACAATTCAATCTGTTAAAAAAGACTAAAATTCTGCGAACGTTTGCAACGATAGCCAGACTTGCCTAATATCTATGTCACGAACATTTTTTGCAATAACATGGCAACGTAGCAAGTAATTGCTACTTCAGCTTTATATTAATCCCAAATTTCGAAGATGATTGATCTAAAAAAGACGATATAAAAAGCCTCGCATACGCTTTGCAGGTAGTTTAAAATTAACATTCCGTGCACTCACTAGTTTGTCAATTCGGTGACTTATATATTACTTTTACGTATTACTTTTACTTACATTATTCACTTTTGCTGTAAACGTGTGTAAACCATTTATTATTTTTAATAAATATTACTTAGTAATTATGAAGTGAGAATAATTTATTCCAATATCACTTATCTGGTTTGTAGACGTATTCAACGACAATCTCCAAGGTTTTGTAATAAACTATTATTTATTACATTAATTTTTATTCGCATTTACAAGTCAAAATTTATTGATCATTGCATTTAGAAATAAATTGAGTCTTACCCCATTAGATTTATACTGGTACGCGTTGATTATTATTAATTTAATGACCAACCTGTAACATGGGTAATAAGAAAGCGAAATATTATGAGGTAACTAATAGGAAAATGCTTACCAATTTTAAAAAGTTAGATTGAAACATGGTTTAATGATATACTTTCTAAACTCTTATTTAGATTCTTTTCCTAAAAACCATGGAGACCTGAGTGAAGAGCAAGGAAAAAGATTTTATCAAGATATCCAGGGGTTGGAAAGAAGTTATCAAGGTCGATGGAATGTGAAACCTGAAGATGACGGCGTAGAGCAAAAGAGGAAGTCAGGAACGAGAAGCTTAAATATAAAGAGGAAAGGGTTTCATAAATCCGAAAATTAATGATAAGACGAAATAAGACATTTGAAAATACTATGGACTTAGCCACCACAGGTTGCAATGTAGTTAGGTTAACCTGTCGTAAGTTTAGCCCTCACAAGTTACAGCGAACTTACATTAACTTATCTGAAATTCAATGTTAGTGAGTTACTGCACACTCACGTTAACCTGTCTCGGGTTTAACGTTTGTAGGTTAGAGTGAACTTAGGTTACCCTGTTGAAGGTTTAAAAATACTAAGTTTCAATTATCGATATTTCTGATGAAAATAAAGATTTTTAAAATATTAAAAATTAATATTGAAGGATAAGGGAGATATTTTCAAGAGGCATAACCCGTTTTTAATAAAAATAATTAATTCGCAATGTAATATAAACTCTCGCTCTTATGTTAGAATACCTCAAAATCTAACGTGATGGAAGATATCTAAAATCGAATTAGGATCCAGGGCATAAAAAATCTTCAAGATACATTGCTATTATTCTTACGGAAAATCCTTGTTGACTTGTGTTATTTTTTCCCACGCTATCTGTCACAGCTTACGTAAATGATTTTAATTTGGAAGCTTATCCATGTTTTGCTACTTGGTGAAACTGTACTGTTAAATGACAGATAATATGCACAAATCGCTCTGACGTTTGTTAAAAAAACAGACATAAACGTAATGAAGCAATACGTGATCGTCGGATTAATAGCTAGAGTGTACTCGTCTCATTAAAAATGTGTTTATTCACGCTTCGTCCTGGGCAAATAAGCCAGTAGTTACACAAAATTTAATGATTTCAATAGTCATAAGATCGTTTGTTTGTAGTTTTATGTTGCAAACAACAAAACGTCTGTAAAAGAATGATCTTATTATTTCTTTATTATATATATAAAAACCCCAAGATTTGCAAATCTGATGTTTAGATTCATAAACCATGGCCGCCACAGTACTGCTATTCTAATCACTAGACGTTATTGTAATTGAAGCTCCTTCGAATAGGCGTCTGTCATATACTATACTTATGTTAAGTCACCATGTCTTACAATACACGCATGTGCTACAAATTATTTATTTAAATGATCTTGAATTTCAAGTTAATACTTTTTCAGTTGACAATTTTGAGGTTTAGTCACGAAGTGATGAGCTATTATTAGAATTTTTTTATAATTACATTTTCCTTAAGAAAATATTTTTTGTCATACATTAACTGAAATGTTCAAATTACAATAAAGATTACAACTTTTACCTTTTTTTCAGACAAATACTGGATCATCTGATGATCATAGTGTTTTAGTTAACGTTTGTTTGGAAACCGAGAATACTGAAAATTTGATTAATATTAAAGATTCTTCTGTTAATCCAAGTGCCGATGAAGAACCAGAACATCCTACTGAAGTTATTGAACATGGATCGAATGAAAACGGTAATGTCCATTTTTTTAATGATTGTTTTCAAATGTTTTCAAAATGATTATTCGAAGCAGTTAGTTTTGTAATAAAATCAGAAATATTTTTAAAACATAAGTAGCTTATTTCAGTAACTTTTTCATTTCGTCTATGTAGGAGAGTCAGCGGATCATGCCGACGCTTATAAATTATTGAACGTTTTAAATGTGAGGCTTCAACTTATCCCTGGGAAATAAAATTCTCTTTTATAAGCCCTATGGGATTTGAATACCTGCGGACCAGAATACTGTTTGTTTATTGTTGTATTAATGTATCTCGAAAAAAAAAAAAAAATTGATAAAGTAAAACGTTACATGAAAACCTTTTCTATTTCTATTACTCTTTTAAAATACCACTTTTTGATACATAGTTAAAACTGTAAAAACGACCTGGTCTCTACAGGGTGACTCTAAAACATTAAATGAAACTTATATCACTAGTTTCATCTCAAAAAATTATTTAAGATAAAATTATTCAAAACATTTTTTAATAATTAGATAATAAAACAATTAATTTTAAAGAGCAGCTAATCAGCGGGCGTCTACAGAAAGTAGTACGCGGCGCGGTAAGCTGGGTGCTGCTGAAGAACTGACATGCACGCGCTACAGTCGACTGAAAACTGTTTTTAACTACATTGATGCATGTTATAAATTAAATAAATTAATTTCATCAATCAAATCTGCAGATAAAAATCATTAAGATTACATTTTACTAGCAATATGAAAATAGTACAAATTTGCACTTATACTTTATTCGCTTATACGAAGCGTTTGTGTGTAGAAAATTCTATTAAAAAAGAGTCGGTTTGAGTTTACTATAAGAAAAAAAGCCGAATGAAATAAATATGAATGTTATAACAATGAACGTTATATTCGCGCACTCGTCTCCTCGGTGAGACTGCCCTCGGGGACAGCACCTGCCGGCTATAAAAAGTGAGGGCACGCGTCTCATACACGTTGATACAAGAAAGAGATACATAGATAAGAATAGTGCAGAGACTGCTCTCGTATACACACGTTCTTTTCGAGTTCTAGACCCTCGAGGTTCGACGTTGAATGAACACGGAAGTCACTGTGTGCGCTATTTCTCTAATAGAAAAAAGGCATCCTGAGCGAGCTCCAAAGGACACTTTGGATTTTACTTTTAATTATTACAGCTGCACAGACCTCAATTTGCAACCGAACCATTGATTAATAAAAGATACCGTCGTGATAATTAAGAACAACTAATCTAATCATTGACTGACTCTTCAGAAGTGCTTATTCCTATACTCGCATATTCATTTCTGTCATATGCCTTCGTGCGTATACGTCCCTTTTTAGCTAGCAGGATTTATCAATACTTCCGAGCGAGGTTAAAGCTGCTCAGTAAAAGTAACGACAGCAATTAACGGGAACTTCACCCGGAAGCAAGAGCACACGCCGAAGGTAAGGTCTCGGTGCAAGGTTCGGCGCAAAGGAAGCGCATGCGATTGCCAACGAGGCCAGCCCACGGTAAACGCACAGAGCGCCGCTAAAGTGAGCGCCATTGCGTACGGCAGAGCGATACTCGCGCAGCTTGTGCTGATCCTTGCACAAATAAAGAGGCTTGCCCGCAAACCTTTGCACCGCGTAGCCCACCAAACATCGTACCCCGTTATAATATAGTATAATAAGTAAATACGATGTAAAAGACTAACAAATTGCAAGCAACGATAACTTCACATTATTTATCGAACCTAATTGTCAAAACGAAGACTAATGGTTAGTGTATTGCATTCGCTTGCATCGAAATGTTTTTCTTGGTGCTCTGAAAATTATGTAACACTGGATAGCATAGTGTTGTGGCGTCAAAGAATGTGATATGCATAGGTGAGAGGTGCGAAATTCGGGCGGAAACGGCTGAGCGTCGATCAGGTGGCATCGAACGGTAAGTAAATACTAACACACACGCACAACGCATAGGACACACACGCTTGTAAGCTCGTAATCAGCCACGTACTCGCTTATGCTAACACGCGCATGGATCATAAACATACAAACTTTCATTTGAGCTTTTTATTTAGATAACGAGGGTTATTTGCACAATTTGGAGGTTTCAACTGATGGGAAAGTGATTCATCCAGATGAGAGCAATAACGGTCATTTAACTAAAAAATTAATTGATAATTGATAATAATAAATATGATTTTTTGTCAGAGTCAGAAGATACTGATGAAAAGATATCCTTAAAAAGAATTTTAAGAAAAGTGTTTTCCGAAGTGGAAGCCGGGAACGGCATGATACTATGGCGCAAACACATACATAAAAAAATATACATACATATCTCTAATAGACGTGGAGGCTCGCCCACTCATTTTCACACGCTTGCAGACTTATACAAACAACGAGTTTATTTCTAAGCTCGTTACGTTTCTCTGTATCTTCATATCATCCATATCATTTATATAAATTATGTTAATATCCTTTATATGCAATTACATAGGTATTCGACGTAGCAGCAGCCGACACAGCCAGAAGGTAAAAGAGAGAGAGAGAGAGCAACAGAGAGTCGCGTTAGAGAAAAGAGAGAGAGAGAGCAATATGCCCTAACATATACGTCGCGCTGAGAACGTTTTGACAGGTCAGGACGCGCACGACTGAGACTGAGGTGAGAGAAGGGATACCGCGAGCGACAATTAGCCGTTCGACTCGAAGCTGCGAAAAAGTGTTGATTGACGCGCTGCATTTAAAGCCTTGCCGCTTTCGTGTGGCTTTTCTATTAAGAAGGACAGCGATTTTGGTTTTGCCATCGATACCGGCTTCCGACAGCCTCTAGGTGGATAGAGTGTGCGTGTGCGGTGTGCCGAGAGTACAATTAACGCCGGTTTAACGCGAGGAATACGAGTCGTTGTTGCACCAACGAATTTCGATGTTTGAGCGTTCAAAAAAGGCATGGCCGAGGAAAATGTAAGTAGCTCCTCGTACTTTGTCTCTCTCGGTTTGCTTGCTTTCTCTCTCTTACTCTGCGCTGCTTCATTAAATCGCATTGTGATTATTCTACATTTGTATCATTTATAATTTTATTTATATAAATAGCAATTATACTAGTTACGCGTTCTTTTGTCTCGCTTGACTCTTGTCCGTTTCCTGTGCTGATTCCCTTCGTATTTATTATTCGCAATTTCTCTTACATTTACCCACGACGCTCTACGCGGGCTACGAGGTAGTTTTAATGCAGATAACCAAGCTCGGCCGAGTACGAGCCATTGCATAAACCCGGTTGCAAATCGAGCATAGTATCACCAAGACTAATATCTTATAATAATTCATAATAGTTTCTTCTCTATAACGTATTGAAATTTATAAACCGTTATAACATTCGTACACAACCACGTACTCAGGCACTCTTGCAAACTCGTGTACATGCGCACACACACCACCACGCACACTCGCACATACACACAGCAAACATACATTCATACACAGACGTTTACACATTTAACTGATATTTACAAAATATTAATATTTATTATTGTTGTAGGTGCGACTTTGTAATGGTTCCGCGATTTATGTTGTTAAAATTAAGTTGGACACACGGAACGCATTATACGAGGTCTGTCCGGAAAGTATCGGGCCTACCTTTATATTTTCGTGCTAGCGTTATTCTTTATCATATGGTGGGTGGCATCCTTCAAAGTAATCCCCACTTGATTGAATAACACGGTTCCATCAATGTTTCCACTTTTCAAAACAGTCCTGGAACTCACTTTTAGGGATAGCCTTAAGTGCACTCGTCGCATTGTTTTCAACCGTTGTTTTGTCATTGATTCGGTGTCCTTTGAGTGGTTTTTTTAGTTTTGGGAACAGCCAAAAGTCACAAGGGGTTATGTCGGGACTGTATGGAGGTTGTCGAAGCAATGCGATATTGTGTTTGCTCAAAAACTGCTGCACAAGATTGGAAGAATGCGCTGGCGCATTATCGTGATGGAGAAGCCAGTCACCACTTTCCCAAATGTGCGGCCGTTTTCTTCTTACTGCATCACGCAAACGTCGCAAAATTTGAACGTAGTATTCTTTATTGATTGTCTCACCTGTTGGTGCATATTCGTGATGTACAATACCTTCACAATCGAAGAAAACAATCAACATTGACTTAACATTGCTCCGACTTTGACGTGCTTTTTTTGGTCTTGGCGATTCAGAATGCTTCCACTGTGAAGATTGTTGTTTTATTTCAGGATCATAACCATAAACCCATGATTCATCACCTATAATAACTTTTCTAAGCACATTATCATCATTATTGACCATTTCCAGATTGCAGAGGGATTTCTAAGCGAATGTTCTTCTGCTCTGCTGTGAGCAATTTTGGGATGAATTTCGCACACACGCGTTTCATTCCTAAATTTTCGGTTAAAATTTCTGAAATGATAGTTTTTGGTATCCCAAGGTCTTTTTCTAGTTCTCGCACAGTCATACGACGATCTTGTTCGATTGTAAGTCGCACCCGTTCAATATTGTCTGCGGTTTTTGTCGTCGAAGGTCGGCCGGAACGAGAATCACTATCGACAGAAGTGCGACCATCCTTGAACCGTTTATACCACTCTTTTATTCGTGTTTTACTCATACATTCGTTTCCGAAGGCCTTTTGCATCATGTCAATAGTTTCCGAACTCATTTTTCGGAGTTGAAAGCAAAATTTGATGCAAATTCGTTGATCTTGTTTTTCAGTCATTTTTGACAATATCAAAATCCGACGAACGCGAAAAAGGCACTGTAAACAAAGACACGCTGCGCATGAACTATACGTCCGGCAGGTGTCAGCAAGTAACCAATAGATTCGTGAGGCTTTACTGTTGGCGTTTCTGTCCGGTAGAGGTCGCTCGAACACTATGGCGCGAATATAGAGACGTAGGCCCGATACTTTCCGGACAGACCTCGTATGAGCTGAGTGACGCGAATTTTGTTCCAATTGAGACATGTTATACTTTATAAAAAATTAAGACAGGTATTTTTTA